AACCGATGAAGATTACCTTTTGAGATGGTTCGTCGATTTCGACGATGCCACAAGGGCCCGTCACATTGAGGGTGACGAGATGCAAGTCACCTTCGCCCTGTCAAATTTGACGGGACGAGCAAAGACTTGGGTCTTACGGCTCAAGCTTCACGACCCAAACGTGTTTGAGTCGTTGGAAATCTTGAATTCTCGGCTCAAAGAGACGTTTGAGCCGCCGAGAGCCGAGTTCAGAGCACGCTCTGCACTCTTGAGACTCAAGCAAGGTAAGCGTGATGTGCACGATAATGCACAACACCTACGCTACCTTGCAAGTAGCGTCTCGGAATGCGTTGTTGATGAGCACACGCTCATCAACGTGTTCATCTACGGCCTTGTTGATGGACCGGTGAAGACCTACATGTTACGAGAGGACTTCCATACGCTGGAAAAGGCGATAGCGTATGCGGAACAAGGAGACTTCAGCCTCAGACAGTCTCACGCTAACTCGTCCAATTATCGTCCGCCGAGGCGACAGGAAACAGGAGGTCCCGAACCAATGGACCTCTGTTACATCGAGAGCGAGAACTCTCGCACTCTGAGTCACAAGCGAACGTTAAGATGCCATCGCTGTCAGAAGATCGTACACACACTCATAAGCGTAGTGTTTTAAGCACCGCAACACGTCCAAAGATAGGACGTGATGACCACCTCTGGCCAAGGAAAAGCCCAAGGCGTGGGTCCGACCATGTCGCCAAGCCGCGACAGCAAGTCGGACCGTCAAAAACAGACAGGGCCAGTAGGGGCGGAGCACCCTGCTATTCCAGAAACGTCAAGAGAATTTGCAGGATCTTGACGAAGATTGCTCCCAACACAAAGTCGCTGTGTGTTAAGGCCCTAGTGATGAGGAGTCTCTCATCACTTTGAAGATTAAAGTGACAAGTGGAATGTCACGTCGCGCCCTAGTTGACTGTGAGGCGTCGAACAGTTTTATTTGGCGCCAGTCGCTAGAGGATGGTAGGCTCAACTGTGTTGAGCGAGAGTTCCCTCCAACGAGGATGATGGTGTGCCTTGCTACAGGCGCATCCGTAACAGTGGACAAACGTGTAGTCGGAATCCATAAACGCTAGAAGGAATGCAGTACGATGACTTCTTTATCGTACTAGATTTGGATGAAGAATTTAATGTCATCCTCGGTCTGTCATAGCTTAGAAAGTACCAGCCATGGGTTAGCTGGCAGCATCGATTCATGAAGATGTATGCCGTTTGTTCAGCTGATGGCCATCTCATAAACGTCTTGGAGCGTTTAAAAGCGTGTGGGTACACTACGAGTGAGTTCGATGACCTAACTTGTGGTGAGGTCGTTAGTATGATTGCACAAGATCACAGTGTAGAAGGCCACTGCACTGTGGAACCAGCTTCCGGCACCTGTCTAGAGACACAGTCTGCGCCGAAGGTTCACCACTCGAAGAGATCGAGTGGACTAGATCACGGATGCACACCAAGAAGGTTGCATCTAAGAAGAGAGATTAGTGTTGTTCAGGATGGACAACGCGTTGAAGCGAGATCGACTATCAAAAAATCGATCGTAGAGCAAGCCCGATCGACTGAAAGAGAGTCGATCGGAGAGGACGTGACCGTAATATTACACGTATTGAAAGAAAATGCCGGCGTTCCTGAGAGCAATAACTCCCGAGAGAGTTATGTTAAGGGTGTGGATCCCCAACCACCTGCGTACGTGATTTCCCAGGAAAAGACCGAGTCAGTGAATGTTTTGGTGAATGACGGATCAAGTGTAGGCGCTTATACACTTGATCTGGTGACGCCCCCGAAGTCAGCTTCGGAGGTAGTCAAGTTGCCAACGCTAGAATCTAAACGATTCTTGCGAGATCTGCGTGGTGACAAGATCAAGCAGATCTGCGTACTCGTCACAGAGGACGAGTACGTCGCCGATATTCGGTCGGCACAACTGTTTGCTGAGAACAGACGGTTTCTCAGTAGTTCATCTACGGACGAGAGTGTCCTCGATGAGAAGACCCGGATTGAGTAATACACGTCTCAATATTGGGAGTCTTTAAAGTAAAATCCTTTGTATAAGGATTTGGTGAAATTCAGGGAGGCTTTCCCTGAATCCGTGCAATGCGAGCTGCCTAAGGACAAAGGCACTCGGCATGAGATCGAACCTAAACTTGGTTTGAAGTACTGTGTCATGAAGCAGTGGTCACTGCCTCGTGAACAGGTCACAGCGATCGACAAATTCTTTGCCGGTCGCTTAGCGGCTGGTCATGTGGAGGAAATTAACATTTCCACACAGCTCTCCGAACGTCTCTGTGCATAAGGCTACAGGATGGTGGCGGATAGTGCACGCGTACAACGAATTGAACGCTGCAACGGTACCGGCTTAAATGCCGATCTTAAGGAAGGACTTCATCATAGATGGTATGGCAAAGAGTACGATCTTTTCGTCCATAGATTTGATGGATGGATTCTTTCAGTTCCACATGCACGAACGGGATATCCCGTACACAGCAGTGACAACCCCAATGGTTAGCTCTGGCAGTGGCTAGTGATGCCACAGGGGCTAAGTAACTCCCTCGCAACGTTAAACATATGTGTTACAAATCTGTTGCGATCGGTGCGCGATTTCGCACCGAGTTACTTCGACGGTGTCTTCGTCCATAGCCGGGCTATGGATGGAAAGACGGCCGTGGAGGTTCATAGAATCCACGTCCGGAAGTTCCTATTCTAATGCGAGAGCATAAGTTGTTCGCGAACCTCAAGAAGTGTATATTCGTAGCGAATGACATACCACTTCTTGGATGCATTATGAATCAAAACGGTGTACGCCCTGATCCGGAAAAAAACAAGGCGATAAGCGACTTGCCTGTGCCAGTCGACGTCAAAGGACTCCAAAAGTTCCTTGGCTTGACGGCGTACTTGCACAAATACTCGCGCAACTATGCCGAGATGACTGTACACCTCTCTCGTCTACTAAAGATAAACGAGAGGTGGTCATGGAGTGCTGAGTGTCAGCACTCCTTCGAATGAATCACGAAAAGCTTGATACAATCGCCTGTGTTGGAAATTGCAGATCAGGACAGATCACTCCATGTGGTCTGTGACGCCAGCGATTTTGCGATCGGCTGCGCGTTAATGCAGTACGACTCAGACGGCATTGAGCGCGTCGTCTGTTATCAATCGCGTCAGCTGCAAGCAGCTAAGCGAAATTATCCGGTGCATGACAAGGAACGCCTTGCCATGAAATATGCACTGGCTAAGTTTCGGGTATACATCCTAGAAGACAGGCCCTTCATCGTTTATACCGACCATGCGTCATTACGCACGGCCGTAAACAGTCCACACCTCTCGCAACGAACGGCGAGGTGGCTGTCTTTCTTCGCGGAGTACAACTTCTCCGTCGAGTTTAAACCAGGACGGCTTTATGTCGTCGCTAATGCTCTTTCGCGTCGGCCCGATTTCGAGCCGACTGCTCAACACAACAGTAGGGATGATCCCACTGTCGCGACACTAACAGTGAGTATTCCGTCTTCGAATCTGCTCGATGACGTGCGAAAATCCTACACAGAAGATGAGTCTCTTCTGCGGTTGATGGATTACGTATCCAATCCGTGTAATCAAGCTTTGAAAAGCTTGTCGTCTCAATACTGCTCTCTAACCGAACGGTATTCGGTTCGTGATGGACTGCTGTACTATACAGCAGGTAACGGAGACACACCTCGTGTCGTCGTTCCGGCTCATAATGATTTTCCATTGCGCATCATGTATGAGTGTTGAGATGCCCCACCAGTGGGCATTGCGGTAGGGAAAAGACTTACCTCACGGTGCGTCGTGACTTCTACTGGCCCGCCAGTATGAGTTTGTGCGCGACTACATTCGCGCTTGCGAAGTTTTTCAACAGGTGAAGCCTAGTTCTTCATCCCGCGCACCCTTGCAGCCTCTTCCGATGCCAACAGAGTGTTGGCAGTCCTTATCGATGGACTTCGTCTTTGGGTTTCCCAAACACGCTCACAAGAATACTGGTATTCTTGTGTTTGTTGATCGGTTCAACAAGATGGTACATCTTGTTGCTGTACCGGATTCAATCACAGCCCAGGGCTGTGCGCGTGACTTCATTAAAACTATCTTCCGACCTCACGGGTTACCCCGTGAACTCGTGTCCGATAGGGTGGAGTTCTGACAATTTGTGTTCCGTTCACTTGGAACGCGTTTAACGATGTCAACTTCTGATCATCCCGACACAGATGGTCGAACGAAACGCATCAACCGCGTCCTCGAAGAGATACTTCGAGGGCACGTCCACTCGTTTACGCGTTGGAGTGAGTTATTGCCGATGGCGGAATTCGCCATCAACAACTCGGTGCATGCGTCGACAACGCATACACAGTTCTTCGTGAGTGGCCTGCGCCATCCACGTTTACCCGCCTTCTTAGAGTGTAACTCTAATATAATAAGCGGTGGACTCGTTCGAACAAAATCCGATTTGGTTCTTGCTCATCACCCGTCGACAATGGTGTCGACGTGATGGATGCCAACGTCGATGCGATCGATATCGATGGTGATGATGACGACGATGCTGGCATATTCAGCATCGCCATAGACTGCCACAGTAAGGACGATGACACCCACACTGTTGAAGACAACGTTCTTTCAGCAGTGCACACGAAGCGCACTGTTGTTAACAAGGATGAAAAAAGGAGATGAATTTCTGCTGACTCGCGAAGCAAACGTCCGCTTCGCTCAAGACTCTATTGCAGGTGCATTAGATAGACAGAAGAGAAACTCAGACAAACATGGAAGAGCAAATGTTCTTTCATTTGATGGAGGAGACTTAGTTTTACTGTCTACAGTAGACTTACCGAAACACGCAGTGACAAACGTTGGCAGCAGTAAATTACTGCCCAAGTACATCGGTCCATTTCGTGTGTTGCGCCGCATGGGCAACACATACACGATTGAACTGCCTGTTAGGATGCGAACGCATCCTACGTCTTACGCCTAATGTTTCAGCCCGTACTATCAGTACGAGCCCGTTTCGAGATGCGAGGAACACCTCCGTAGTCAAGAGCCGAGACCACCTTCGAGTGGTCCCGTTTCAACGAGCCAGTCTGGTCGACTAGCGAAGCGACCTGTTCACGCAGTTCAGCGATGTCTCGACGAGCTATAGCCACCTCATCACGAAGAGAACGAGTCGAACGTTCGTTCTCTAGTTGCGCGAACGCAAAAGCGGCACGATCGTTCGAACGATCGTGCATTAGGAAATTGTAGATATTCCTTACAAGATCCTCAAGCTCAAACGCCGAGTCCGTTCGTGAGCCAGGTCATCTTGCAACGGTTCCGTTACACTGTTCAGCTCTTAAACATCAAGCTGATACGACCCTCGATCCGGATCAGGTGTTCCCGCTGCCACCACATCCTTTGGTGGACATAAGCGGTGGTCAACGCAACCTTGCGGAGCGTATTTTGAACCGACGCGATGTGAATGGCGTCCGGACGAGTTACCTCGTCCGCTGGCGTGTCTATCTACCGGCGTGGGACAGCTGGGAGCCTCGTGCCCAGCTGATTGTTGATGTCCTTGGTCTCGTAGAGCAGTTCGACGAGACCCATCCGCTGCGTTCGAAGAAGGGCCTTCGGAAAATGACCTCCCCGAACGCGATTACAGGGATTGCAAAGTGTCGATCCCTTCGGCCACCTCGGAAGAGATGCGCGCCCTCCAGTGGGAAATAGGGAGGGAAGGGTAGGCCTCCCTAGCGGCACGGTTTGAGTTGTCCAGGCAACCTGGACACAATTATCCCACGAGAGACAGGGTAATCATGCCTCTCTTGAAGCCGGTGCAACTTGTATCGCGCCCCGACGGGGTTGCGTTTTTATTAAACCTGATGCAAGCTGCATCAAGTTTGTCGAGCCAAGCCTCACGGCCAATACACTCGATGTTGTGGATGAGGGCATTCCATCCCTGCACCAAGGTTTTGCCGTCTCGAACACGGCTACCACTGTACCACCGATGTTTAACGAACGCATCGGTGAAGAACATTTCTCAGCAGGGATAGTTTCCGTGCTGGAATCAGGTGGGCAAATATTCCTGCAATCGAACAACGGGATTCAATCCCGTTCAGTAGTCATGCCGGCCAACCGGTCCAACTCCTTGGATGACGGCATCCAAGGAGACTCCACTTGGGTATCGTGGCGCAAGACATTTCGGTCCCTGGCCTCTTAATTGGTGTCAGCGTAAGCGCTGACACCAGTGACACCCCGATCCATCGAGTTACTTCGCTCGTGGTGATGTAGAGGTGCATCACCACCATCCTCACGCGTCCTATCGTTGGATGGACTTGCGTGAGGCGAGGATTCGCCGAAACAATCGCTCGATTCGAAGATCTCGAGCATGATACCACAACATTGACTAGAGCCCGTGACTTCAACTGGCCTCGCCAGTATGAGTTTGTGTGCAAATACATTCGCGCTTGTGAATTTTGTCAGCGGGTGAAGCCTAGTCCTTCATCTCGTGCTCCCTTGAAGCCTCTACCGATTTTGGCAGAGTGCTGGCAGTCCGTATAGATGGACTTCATCTGTAGATTTCTAAAAGACACCTACAAGAATTCTAGTTTTCTTGTACTTGTTGATCGGTTCAGCAAGAAGGTACATCTTGTTCCTGTACCAGAGTCCATCACAGCTCAAGGCTGTGATCGAGTCTTCATCGATACTATCGTTCGACGTCATGGAATGCACCGTGAACTCGTGTCTGACAGAGCTCATCGCTTCACAGCGAAATTCTAGCAGTTTGTGTTCCGTTCACTCGGTCATGATTAAAGGTGTTGACTATTGACCATCCTGAAAAGATGGTCAAACGGATCGTGCAACCGCGTCCTCGAAGAGACAGTTCGAGGGTTCGTCCACTCTTTTAAGAATTGGCATGAGTTCTTGCCGATGGCAGAATTCGCCTTGAACAACTCGGTGAATGCGTCGACAACGCATACATGGTTCTTCGTGAATGACCTGCGCCACCCACGTTCGCCCGCCTTCTCAGAGTATGACTCTAGTTTGAAAAGGGGGGTGGCCTCGCTCGAACAAAAACTGATCCGGTTCTTGCTACATTACCCGTCGACAATGGTGTCGACGTGATGGATGCCGATGTCGATGAGATCGATGTCGATGATGACGATGACGTCGATACTGGCATATTCAGCATCGCCATAGACTGCCACAGTAAGGACGATGACACCCTCAATAAAGAAGACAACGTTCTGTCAGCTGTGCACACGAAGCGCACTGCTGCTATCAAGGATAAGTCAGCAGAGAAATTTCTGCTGAGTCGCAAAGCGGTTGTCCGCTTCGTTCAAGAATCTTTTGCAGATGCAATAGACAAGCAGAAAAGAGGTGCAGACAAACATGGATGAGCCAATGTTCTTTCATTTATCGAAGGAGACCTAGTTTTACCGTCTACAGTAAACTTAACAAAGTACGCAGTGAAAAACGTGGGCAGCATTAAAATACTGCCCAAGTACATCAGTCCGTATCTGTGTTGCGCCGCATGGGCAACGCATACACAATTAAACTGTCTCGTAGGATGTGTACGCATTCAATGTTTTGCGCTGGACGTCTCCGCCCGCACTATCAGTACGAGCCCGTTTCGAGAGGCGAAGAATACCTCCGCGGTCTAGGGCCGAGACCACCTTCGATTGGTCCCTTTTCAACGAGACAGTCCGGTCGACTAGCGAAGGGACCTGTTCACGCAGTTCAGCGATGTCCTGACGAGCTGCATTCAGCTGGTCACGTATAGAACGCATCGAGCGTTCGTTCTCAAGTTGCGCGAACGCAAACGCGGCACAATCGTTTGAACGATGGAGCGCTAAGGAATTGTAATTATCCTTTACAAAGTCATTAAGGTCAAGACGCCGAGGCCGTCCATAAGCCAGGTCATCGTGTAACTGATCGGTTACAGGGTTCAGTCCCTGAACATCAAGCTGATCCGACCCTCGAGCTGGATCAGGTATTCCCTCCACAACCACGTCCTTTTGTGGATTATGACGGTGGTCAACGCCTTCTGGTGGAGCGCAGTTTGAACTACCGCAACGTGAATGGCATCCGAACGGGTTACCTCGTCCGCTGGCGTGGCTATCCACCAGCCTGAGACAGCTGGAAGCCTCGTGTCCAGCTGTTTGTCGATGTTCTGGGTCTCGTCGAGCAATACGATGAGACCCATCCGCGGCATTCGAAGAAGGCCAGTAGAAAACGACCTCCCCGAACGCGATTACAGGTATTGCAAGGTGTCAATCCCTTCGGCCATCCCAGCAGATATGCGCACCCACCAGTAGTGAACATCAGGGATGTAGGCTTCCGTACGGGCACGATTAGCATTGTCCAGGAAACCTGGACGTGAATCACCCCATGAGAGACAGAATAACCTTGCCTCTCTTGACAGTCGGCACAACTTGTGTAGTAAACCAGCTGGGTTGAAATTTTCAAACCTGATGCAATCTGCATCAAGTTTATTGAGTCAGGCCTCACGGACAATACACTCGATGTTATGGATAAAGGCATTCCATCCTTGCACCAAGGCCTTACCGTCTCGACCACTGTTGCCGTTGTACCAGCAATGTTTGAAAGCACTTCGGTGAAGAGCTCTTCCTCAGCACGGATAGTTTCCGTGCTGGAATTAGGAGGAAAGATCCTCTTACGGTCCAACAACGGGTTTCGGTCCCGTTTGGTGGTCAAAACGGTCAGCCGATCTAACTCTTTGGATGAAGGCAACCAAGGAGACTACACTTGTGGAGCGTAGCGCAGGACATTTTGGTTCCTGTACTCTTGAGTGGTGCCAGCATGAAAACTGACACCAGTCGCGGTTCTATCCCTCGAATTGCTTCTCTCGGTGGTGCATAGGAGCATCACCACCAACACCACGCGTCATATTGTCGGATGGACTTGCGTGAGGCGACGATTCGTCAGAAGAACCGTCTGGTCCGAAGATCTTGGAAACTATGCCGCCACGTTATTAAGGGCAAGTCAACCTGGCTCTTGCAGTGTCCGCCCGGATGGTCCGGAGGCGTGAGGTGTCGCCTTCGAGTTGGATACATCATCCGACTCGCCAAAATAGATGAGATCTATTTCAAGCTCATCCGCTTTGTGGTCTTAGCACCCGCTGCAGACGCAGCGGATGTATCTGTCGCACGTGGTGACTCACCACGTGGACTATTCACAATAGGCACCGCCTGTTGCTGAGTCGCAATAGCAGGCGAAGTATCACCTGCTGCTGAAGCAAGATAAGATCCCTCTTCGGCTGCACGCATGCGTGCAACCGCCTTTCTTGCTGCTTCGGCAGAACTTTGCATGGATTTATACACCATGCGATGAATTGGCAGATATGTTACAATTTGACCAGCAAGTGGTCTCCGTGCCAGAGTGATTCAACGGTGGTCACTCTGTCCCAACAAATTCGATTGAATCAACGCGAAATTGATGGTCACACAGAGTCAGAGCCATTGTAACGGGGTAGCCCGTTTCATGAGATTGGCACCAAATGATGTCAATCGGGAGATTGTCTAGCGTGAAAATTCCCTACCAATATTATCCGAGATGGATAATATTGAAGGGTTATTATATCATAAGGATAATATGCACGCGCTGTACAAAGATTAGCTGATGAAGACATATCAACTAAGGTTACCACCAATCTCTGCTTGACGCGCGTAATGAGTGGTGAGGAGGTTGTCTTTATACGACAATAGAGATTGATGTAGTTAGATAAAGATTCAGGTTATTTTGATAGCTTAACTATGTTAAATACAGTTCTCTTTTTACCCTTTACTCAAACTAGATGTTTGAGTAAATTAGCTTCCTCTGCACGTACTAGTGTACGTGAAGTTTCGTGGCACCCAAATAGGAGGGCCCCATTACACTTACGACAGCAGTCTCGTCTGTGTTGCTGTTGACCCAAATCATACTAATAATTTAGCTATTTACATTTTAAAGTGGCCACCGTCGGCAGTCAAAGCGTTCTAGTGAGACTAAACAGCTCATCGGGACTGAAAGTGCTTCTTCATTATTTACATTAGTTTGCATTTACGTGCAAGCTTTATTTTTTTAAGGTTTTAGTGTTTGTACACTGGTCTGACTGCTGGTGCCAGAATGGCATAATATTCGGATTGTAATCTTTTTGCAGCAAGGTGACATTGTCACCTTATATAGTCTGGCTAAATAATTGGGTTTTTCAGGCAACACACGCAGTCACTTTTTCGGACTATCTCTCCTGATTAAAAAGGGGATGACTAAAAAACTTTTTGTTGTTGTTTTGATACGGTACTGATTAAATACTTATACCCTGCGATCCAAATTGTAAAACCAGGTGTAGGTATCACTCGTTGTGCGCTGACCATTCGAGCACATAACACGGCACTTGCAGGTGATGCTGCATTATTATCGCTCCATTTGACACCTTCAGCACACCCCGTGAAGATGAAAACTACAAAGCCGCTTTTTACCAAGCGGACCGTCTGCATGGACCGAAGTGCAGTTGATTTATATTGGATCTATAAACTTAAATTAACAAGCGGTGAAAAGGCTACTAAGTACACCTTGCAATGTCTCATTAGATGCGTTTACATAAACGAAAACCGATAATGCAGACGCTTAAACGAATTGTGTAATTGCGACACTTTTCTTTTACATTGTTTCTTCTCTAAGCCTATTTAGACTTTAATCACCTTATACGTCAGAAGGTAAAAAAGTTGTTCTGTCCTTCAAATGTCGGCGTGGCGCAGTCTCCAACAGACCCAAGCGTGGCGCATAAAATATTTTATGTTACAGGCGCGGAGAAAGCCCAACAGTTGAGCTTGAAGTGTTTAGTTATGGTAAGCAAACTGTGGACATTCAATCACCTCCCCCTATCGAGATGTAGAATTGGCTCGTAAAAAATAGGGGCGTGGTTATTTTTTTATCACTTTTGTCTAAGAGTGCATCGCTTGGAGTTGAAGGTTATGGACCACGAGATCTGTAGTGGAGGTACACAGCTCCATAATCCAGGGAAAGACTAAGTGCTTTAAACACGATGCTAGTTTGAAAAAATTAGATTATCGAGCCAAAACGTGTAAAGTTTAGTGTTTATGTTCCAGATCACCGAACGGTTTATTGAATCTACAGCACTTTGTGCTCAAGAGTAGCAATTTGAGGGAGGTTATGCTAACTTTTGCTAACTTTATTCAGAGACACCTCGCATGGCACGTGTCTTTAAGTTTGAAAGGGGAACTAAACGTTATTTACGTTCAACTCTATACATCACCATGATAATAATATGACCTAATCCAGTCACACATGTCCTTAGTTAATATTTTTTTTTATATCTTTCCTATCTTGTGGCTGACGCCCTTCATTCCCTATAAACTGATAAGATATTCTACATCTCTTTAGTGGGACACAAGTCCGCGTGACTAAGACACAGGGTACCGAGTATCCTACAATTTTAACCCCTTCACCATCCGTGTCAGATTTTGACCTGACCTTAGTAAATTAACGATAATAAAAGATCAATCCTCAATGCATCTCGTTCGACTTGGTCGCAACACCTCGAACGGACGACTACCCTCCACCGTTTGAAGCAAAGTTACTTAGCGCTCCTTAACAGAGGAAGTCTTTGAATAAATAAGTTTCTTTATTAAAATAAATAACAACGGCTTGTAGTCGTTCAAGCGTACAAGCTAAACAATTCCAGTTTCAAATGGATAACGATTACCAGAATTACACACTCACTAGTCACTACCGGTTAAACAAGAGTAAATGCCTTGACATGGCTAACACTCTTACAACACACTATGCCTTGACTAGACATTAGTGTTAAACGATTCAAAAGGGGAATCGGATTCTTTTTAATATTTAACTACGGTATCTAAACCCTTAAACCGTATTTGACTGACTTCTATTGTACGATATTATGATAGAAGTCCGGTCACTTTCCCTTACCCAATAAGGTGCGGTATTTCCGTAAGTACGTGGTACCAAGACTGTACCAATCAAATTCACAGATCTTTACTTGGTGTAGACACACAACACAATTAGTTCAAAAACCGCGTGCAACCCCGTTACACCGTTAGTATAATCGGGTTGCTAAAAGGGACGCGAGCAAACGATAATTGCGATCGACCACCTTCACGGCCTGGCTTTCTTGAAAAATGGAACTCATCAATAATTTTGCTCATAGTGGTCACGGGTTCTTTTCGCGTAGAGCAAAGGATAAAACCGTTTTTGGCGCAACCAACCCCAGTGCAAATATTTAGGTCAATTGCGAAAAATTGCTGTATTTTCCTCGCCGATAAAAGCAGGCTGATGCTTGAGGTAACAAAGGCTGCACCTCTTCAAGCCAACACCAAGCATAGCCAGCACAAGTTTGTAAATTCGGATGAGCTAAAATAACGACTTCTACAAAAGCGCGTCGGCTTGCATGGTTTTAAAACTGGTCCTATTAAGCAATTAATATTGCGCGGCACACGTATGTCACCTTCCATTCTCGAGGCGCCAGTTATTCCACTTCGAAAAAGGTTAATTTGTCGGATACAATTGACTATCGTTCGATCTCATTACTGTTAACACGTAACAAAAATTTGATGGGGGGCTGGTATCACGACTGCAGAGAGTTTTGCCCGTCGTCTTTGGGAAGTCACAACCAATTTTTTTAAACTAATGCTTAAACTGATTATGAGAGTGACAGCTCGATTCTCTTCCGCAAATAAGGAGGCGGATTTACCAGCCAGCTCTCGCTGGGCTACTCAATTACTTAACTCTCGCAAGGCGCATCATACGGTGGGTCGAGACCATGCGGAGCTTGCACTTCGATAAATCGAATGCTCACCTCATAGATCGGATGCACACGGGGACGACCTCACGCTTTCTGGTTAATGGTGAGCTTTCTGCCCCTGTTCTATATCGTTTCGGGATACGCCAAGGGTATCCGAGCGCTCCAATTATCTTTCTGATTAAAGTAGTAGCTATTTTTGGCGGTGGTAAGACGTGTCTGCGGAGTTTTGAAGGTGAGGTACACAGTTTCGATTAAGTAAAGGGCCGAAACTCACTTCATTTCCCAGATTTCGAGATGCCTCAACGTGTTTAAGGACTAATATGCCTTTAAACTGGTGTTATCGAGTTGCCGTATCAAGAAGATTAGGAAGGCTGAGCGTGCAGGCCGAAAAGCCGTCCCAATTGATTCAGGATCTAAACCACTGACGC